GAAGAGGGGGGGGTATGTGAGACAGTTTTGTGAAACCAGGCTGTCGTCAAAATAATTAAATCGAAGATATCGGCATTTTTCCTATGGGTTTGTAAGTTTTATCGAAATTTTGTTGAGGGGTTTTTGGCTCCACACCTTGCTCGTTCATTGAAAAACAATTGGATGTGTGGCCTTTAATGAAAAACGTTGATTAAAGGCACAAACAATGTAAATTTACAATTTTCAAGGACTTTCAAGCTTTGGTAGTCACCAAATGTTAGTGGCCGTTTTGCTCTACTTTTACCTCTAAAAACAGGTGATCCCCACCTCCTTTAATCTGAAATATATCGACCTCTCTTAAAGACAGATGAGTAATTTTCCATCAAATGCAAGACAAATGAATACCGTTAAAGGTGATAACAAAAACTCTATATGCCAAAAAATTGATGAGCGCCTGATTCCAATGTATCGTGACACATAATACATACTTATACATATATATATATATGTGTGTGTGTGTGTGTTTGTATGTGTTTGTTTGTGTGTGTGAGTGTGTATATGTGTGTGTGTATGTGTGTGTGTGTCTATGTGTGTGTTTGTGTGTGTTATGTAGATATACGTGAGCCTAGTAAAATCACAGCTCACTCGTGACACTTTTTTAAAGTGGCAAAACTTGTTACAAAAAATCGGTTTTATCGCCAACATTTTTTTGCACCAAAGTTTTTCAAAACATTCGTTCAATAATCAAAATGAGGATATTAGTTTTTAAAAAATTGGACCGACTTGCTCTTAAAAGCGATATTGCCCCATTTGTAAATCTTTAAAAATCTGTAGAAAGCACCCACTTTGATTTTTAATTTGCATTTATTAAGGAATTTTGTAGAATACAGCTGACAGTTGTTTATAAACATATTGATCTATTAAGACAAATTGATACAAGAGGTTGTACAAAAGCTGGAGAGTCTATACTTGATGGTTGAGGAAATATTTGATATTACGTTACGCCACGAATTTTTTACCCCTTTATTTCAAAATCCTATTTCTCGTTTAGGAACTGACATGAACAACCACGTACATCGGGGCCTTCACTCTCTGTGGGGCCATTATGGCGGTAGCTATGACGTCATGTGGAAATACGACTTCTATTTACTTTAAGAAGGCATTTACGAGGCATTTACAAAACCTTTCGTTTTCTCCATCTCTTCTTGGTGAATGTGTGAAAGTAAAGCAATATCATACGTAGTGTCCGTCTTCCAGTTGGGTCCATAATGTGCACTGGATTCCTGTTCAGACCTTTGCCTCTCAAATATAGATCTAGATTATTTTTCTGAAGAAGATTTTTGAACACCTAACTATCAACGTAGTCTCTGAGGATAATGTCTGGGTGAGCTCCTATCATTACGGGAGAGTGACAAAGGTTGTTTTAGCTGCATGCGATTCTTTAATTAGTCTTCTTATCACTATGCTGTAAAAGGTTATTTTGTTAATAGAAGCTATATTTCGTTTGTCCAATAGCAAAACCGACAGACCTCACGTGCAGAAGCCCAGAGATTACAAACAACGACAACACAGTGTCTGTGACGTGTGTGTCCAGTGACATCTTTCCTCAAGACCCCCGATGTGTGCTGTACAGACAGACTGATGGTGTAAGTGTGTGGAACTTTGCTACTTTGTTCAGATTGACTTTGTTTTGATCTGGAACCTACTAAATTCTGTGTAAGAAGCGGGAGAACCCATAACTGTAGGAGAACACGTATAACTCCAAGTTAAAAGGAATTCTGTTTAAGGACAGAGACACTCTGCGTTCGTCTAAACCAAAATACAACTATACTAGAACATTGTATTTTGTGGAAGTCGCGTTAAATATACCTATAAGAGAGATGAAAAGAGAGAGAGAGAGAGAGGGGGGCGAGAGAGAGAGAGAGAGAGAGAGAGAGAGAGGGGGGGGGGGAGAGTGAGAGAGAGAGAGACAGAGAGAGAGGGAAACAGAGAAAGAGAGAGAGGGAGAGGGAGAGAGAGAGAGAGAGAGAGAGAGAGAGAGAGAGAGAGAGAGAGAGAGAGAGAGAGAGAGAGAGAGATAGAAGGGGGGGGGGGTGGAGTGAAATACAAGACAGACAGACAAACAAACACATTCTGGGTATTTGGTTATCATATTATTCACGTAGGCCATGTGGGGTCAGGACAGAGAGACATGTTTGGGAACGCTTCTCTCACGTTTTTTAATACCTTGATCAGGTACGTGAGACAAGATAGGAGGAAAACGCAAGACAATAGGTTACGGAATTCTAACAATACTAGCTGACAATACCATAACTGAGCTCTGGCTCTATACCACAATCGTGCGCATGTAGCAATACATGTATATAATATAATCTTAAAGGGACATTTTTTCCCATACTAGCATTGTATGTGTCCTGTATATGCCGTAAACGATATACATGTATTTCCAAAAACTATGTCCAGAAAAACCTTGCCCCACTTCCGTTTCACACAGACTGAAGTTGGCCTCAGCGGCACAACAACGAACTTTATTGTCTTCTCAAAGACAGCATGAGCTAACTGAAATGATTCTTTTACTAACTCAGCAGTGCCCCGGTAGTGTGAAAATATACACCACAAACAAATGCAGTTACTGAAACCACAAAAGGCAGTCAGAGAACTGGTATGCACCATGCTATTGATCCATTCTCAATTACTATCTGTCGTCTGTTTCAGGGCCACTTAGATCAAGCACACCTCGGTTTTTAAAAGATTTTTCTGACCAGCGTTGTATTACTTTCTGCTCTAGGGATCCCGTGTCCAGACGTCCTTGCCCCCCAGTTATGGCACAGATACAGCTGGGAGTGTTTCTGGACCTTCGTGCACGTTCACAATCCAGGCCTCAGAGCTGGGGGCAGGAACTCACAGACTGTCAGTCAACATGTACCCACAGTTTGATGGGAGTGGAGAGAAATACGGAGTAAACATGGAGGTATCTCCTGACGTCACTTTTTGTAAGTCAAACCATTGATTGTGTGTGTGTGTGTGTGTGTGTGTGTGTGTGTGTGTGTGTGTGTGTGTGTGAGTGTGCGTGTGTGGGTGCGTTGATGTGTGTCTGTGTTTGCGTGCCTGTATGTACCTCTGCCAGTGTGTATGTGTTGGTACGTGAGTATGTTTTCATGTATGAGGAGTCCAAAGGTAAAATAGATGTAGTAAAAAAATGGACATTGTGAAGACATTAATTTTCAAATTTTGAAAAATCATACTTTCATTTATTTCTGACTATTGGTTTATTATTTATATTAGTTTAAAGGGGAAAAAACAAAAGAAATTATGGAACCAACAGTCCAACAGAACGGAAGTTTTGATTAAGCAACCTTTTAAAACTGATATCCCCACGACCTCCATTGTGCGACTCTCCTCATGTTTCCCGTAGACTCCTCATGAAAGTGTATTTGAGTGTTTGTGGCATTACTTAAATCATTTCAGCTCCAATTTTCTTTTAATATTGATAATAAACTACTTTTCCATTTGTTAATTGTATTATGAGGATTCTAAGGTGCCTTTAGTTGTGGTCGCGGGAGTTAAAGGCTATCAGCTGTATGGGTCTCATTCCTGAAAAAAGATTGAGATGCTAATGAGATATTTTCCCAACAGGGGAATTGAATGGAAAGCATGTCTTTTTCCTGAAATAATGGGAACCTAAAACAATGCATCTGTCTCCGTTGATATCATGGTTTTGCATGAAATTAAGTATTTGTCTTTATGCCGAAGCATGAAATAAATAGAACAACGAAACGGCAAATGGTTTATAATTGTAGGAACTGATCCA